TTTTTTTTTTTTCCCCCCCCCCTTATTAATTTTTTTTTTTTTTTTTTTTTTTTTAGTAGAATGAACCATTAAATGTTTTATACTGAAATTAATAAATGCATACAAACTAACATTTTTATCAATAAATTACCAACATATTTTCATAAGGTCATATCTACATGTGGAATAACATCAAGCTTGTGTCAAGTTCAAAGAATTATTTCTATAAAAATATATATATACATGTATACAATATACAAAAAAAATTGTTCAGAATTGTTCAGAAAATGAGCAAGATATTTTCAGATATGTCTTTAGAATGATTTTAACTTTTCTTTGAGAAAATGTTTGATTGAATAGTATGATTCCACATGATTCTATGAAAATATTTTGGTCATTTTTGGATGAATTTAAAAAAATTTTAAGTAACCAGCTAGACGCAAAATAAAATTTGTCAAACTTTATCATAAAATTCCTCAAGTTTTCATAGAACAATGAATGTGCTTTATGATCTTTCTACACTCAATGGCTTTTGTACAAAAAATTAACTTTTTTAGCACTTTAGCATTGTTAGCGATACTGACATATATTCAGAAACGTGTTTAAATCCAGAATCAACTAAAAAAATCTCAAAATGTTCACAGTCGACCTTAATTTTATTCAAAAACTATTCAAATTTCTCAACCGTAACCTAATTCTTTTTTCTTTTTCAAAATAAAATGCATTTTCTTTATATTACTTAGCATATATAATTATTACTTTATAACACACAAGGGGCACTCAAATCTGGCTGATATGTGTCAAACTTAAGAAATAAAAAAACTTCATAAGTACGTTTTCATACACCCTGGTTATTATTATTTTCTTTTTATCCATCCCATTTTAGGTTTGATGTCGGGTTTAATGGCTCTTCTGTAATCTCTTTGGATCACTTTAACTATCACATAGGCAGCTTTACGTTTTACCTAGTGGCACCTTGATATTTACTCTGATATACAAAACCGTGAAGTCCTTCATTGTTGTTATTCTGGGTACAAAGAAAACGAGTAGCTGCACCTGACGGCACCAAAGCAAAGATTTCCTGCCTGGAACCACAAAGACAAAAACACAAAGGCTCATAAATATGCATGTCAGTCTCCCGAAAACCATATTGAGATCCAATCTACAAAGAGTAGACCACACAGGAAGCTGAACAGATTCTTCAGCTCAGTACACAATCATTTCTCTGTATAGCAAATTTATAAAGTTTTAAAAAGAAATTTCCTACTTAGGTGGTTTCTTGACTCTTAAGACCAGGAAGTGATCAAACCTGAGGTTGGCCGGTAAAATCGAAAATGTAGCCAAACAAAACAAAGTCCCCTAACTCAGTTTTTCCAAAAGGATTGGTTGGTTCAAATAGGGTTTTTTATTGTAAATGAAATTGTCTTTTGCATTTACTCAGATAATTTTTATCCAACTTAAAAAATAACAACAAGGAAGTATGTAAGGGGTAAAAACCTTTTTACATGGCTGTTCATCAGTGTTACAAATAAACAGTCGTCTGAAAACTTTAGAAATATTTAACAACTTCTAAAAATATTTTTATATTATATGTTGTAACTTAACTCAGTTTCTGTTAAAAACTAGTTTTCGCTCAGGTTGAGTTTCTTGTATTTTTAGTCAGAGTCACACTTTGAATCTGCGAGGCATCAAGCGACTGCAGAGACTTCCTGCCAGAGACCACAAATAGCACAGGGGGTCCAACATGCATGGCCTGCGGAGACTTGCCAACCTCACCAGTCACTTCAGCACGTATCAACTTGTGCTACATCCATACATAATGTCAGTGGTTTGGTTTTTACTGTTAAATGTTCTATGAGCTACCTCTGCAGTCTTCACGGTTGCCCAGGTTGTTGCACGGTCTCTTCCTGGAGCCTTCTAACACTGAGACCAGTTGGTTTTATTCTTTATTTTACACACATTTATCAGAAACATGGAGAGCATTTGTTGGATACTGTAGAGGATATCGGATTTATTCATTCATTTTGTTTCAAATGAATGAAAACTGCATGTTCACCACGTCCGGCTCTACCGCTGTAGAGTAGAGTACGTGCACACATCGCTGGCTTCGCTCGGCATTCTTGATCTGATAACGTTCTTCTCTCTGACGGTGGCGTAGTGGAGGTTACCTGCATCCACAGAATCCTATATGTAACAAAAGAGGAGTTTTCAGAACATGTCTTGAGACAAATTACACAAAACTTTGTAAAAGTTTATTTTTTTCATGATGGTTGTTGAGAACCTTCCCAGCAATAAAGGCAATTTTGTAAACAACAATTTTATTTAAGAAATTTAACTACTAAGAAGAGATTATTGTACATTGCATGCTAGATATACATTGCATTTGTTGGCTGTTTGACTTTACTATAGATAAATACTCACTTGGGCTTTTGGAGCTGAAGCAGCTGAAGGAGTCTGTGGAGGATCTGTTGAAGTGAAACCAAAGGGGGAGGAGTTTTATTTGGTTTTGTTTTTATTTTAAACACCTTATCTAGCAGGTAGAATGCTTCTATAAACATACATCTAGAGGACCAGAACTAATGAACCGGTTACTTTATTTAATTTTTTTATTATTCTTATTTTTTCTCAATGTGGTTTACTACATCAGATTAAACATTTCCCCTTGCAGGCCAGGGAGGATTTCCAAGATTATTTCTATTTTCTAAATGTCTGGATGATGGCAGATCATTTTGAGGAGAACATTTTGTGTCTTCATATACAGAAGCTCACTGTGTTGTGACATTGTGTGACATCATGGGAAGATTTAAATAAAAATATCACAATTAGGGAAATCAAATAGGTTCTATTCAAATCTGACTGACTGACTGACTGACTGACTGACTGATTGATTGATTGATTGATTGATTGATTGATTGATTGATTGATTGATTGATTGATTGATTGATTGATTGATTGATTGAATTTACAGATCCCACAGAGATTCATGCTCATCTGTTCAGACAGACATAAACACCATGGTGACGTCCAGTTATTATTTTGTGTTTTGTTGTATCAAAACCCGTCTGTGTATAAAAGCAAATGGCCTTGTGACGATGCCAACTTTAGCTCAGAGGATAGTTTCATATTTTACAGTGAGAAGAGTTCTGCACTGTCCTATTATCATTATTATTATTATTATTATTATTATTATTATTATTATTATTATTATTATTATTATTATTATATTATGAATATAATAATAATAATAATAATAATAATAATAATAATAATAATAGTAGTTCCCTGTCTTCTGCCCACATCTCTTTGGTCTATCATGTATCATAAGTTATAAAGCATGTGACACACCTTCACGATTGCATTTCTGCATCTTGTACAGTTTGTGGGATGTGAACGCCAACAGACCCATCAGGACGATGACGAAGGCCAAGGTTCCTGTCAACACGTACAGCAGGACAGGAGAATCCAGGTTTTCTGTAAGGAGACAGAGGTAGGAGATCTCACAACCACCTCAACTCATCATGTGAAGGTGTGTTTTCTAAACGATCTGCTACCCTTGTAGTGCAGCTTGGTCCCGTTTCCAAACAGGATGTGTCCACACAAGGCCACCGCGCAGTAGTAGGTCCCAGCGTGAGACGCGTTCAGGTTCTCCAGTGGCAGGTTGTACACACAGGTGTGAGTTGGTCTGTTTGGTTTCATCTCACACTGGGTTTTCCCGTTTCCTTGTGCATAAATGATTCTTGGATTAGATTCATCAGAGTTTTTTAGCCAGTAAACTCTGTGTTCTCCATCGCGGATCCCAGTGTGCACAGTACAGTTCAGCGTAGCAGAATCTCCCGGATGAATGGTTTCCAGTTCTGACTGGTAGATCGACGTTTGGAAGTTTAATGCTAAGTCCTTCACCTGGACAGTGATGCCCTCCAAGAAGTGGAACTGGAATGAGTGGCTGGTAACACAGTAGTAAATGGCCGAGTCTGACGTTTGGACATTTGAGATCTTCAAGTTGTTTTTGCCGACGCCCGTATCCAGTTCAAACCGTGGATCGTTTTTAAACGGACTTTTCATAGAGCCGTTCGTAGCATGTTCCAAGAATTCCGACATCAGCTGTGGTTTCCATCCCAGACTTTCTTTGTACCAGTAAGCGCCTATTGCAGATTTTTCCTTATAGGAGCATTTCAGAGTCACGTCCTGGCCAACATTAACGGCTTCAAAACCTAAACCTGATGACGACGGTGCCAGACCTGTCACAAACACTGGAAAGGAAACATATGAGAATAAAAGTCTTTCTGACGAGTAGAAATACGTTAGAGTCTAACAGAAAACATCACACAACTTACTCAGGTTTCCCAAAAGCAGACATATCGCACAGCCAGCACACAGTGGAAGATCCATTTTCTTTAAGGGGTTTTGCTTCACTGATAAGATCTCTTTGGTTGCTCCACTTTCAATAGACAAGACTGTGTATGATTGGCCCACCATAAAATGTCAGAACACTCACATGTTCTGTGTCAGTAGTTAGTATCCATGCTAAAAACATGTAGTGCCCAGAACAAGTCATGGTATTTTC